GTAGTACATATTGCTGTTTATATTAAAATTTGGTTGCCTTAATTTAATCAGAATCTTTTAATGGTTTGCAACATGTCATGTCAATTTTATTTTGCCCATGGGTCAGCAATTTTCAAAGCCGAAGTATCAAACCCAAATGCCTTCCATTTAGCCTCATGTTGGCATATTGCGTGAACATCAGCCTTTACTTCATCTTGTACATTTTCCTGACTAAAAGTCCCACTGTTAATGTCCTCATCAYTTTCTTCAATTTCCTGTGGTGTTCCTACATTATCCCATACCCGATCAGGTTCTTGGTTAGGCAAACTGAAAATGTTCTTGACGTCATACTTGTCAGTTACAGTAATCCTGGTCTCTACAGCCGTCTGTGACAGTTCAGTCATAAGAAACCTGGTTGTCATCTCTTCACCCACAACATCAGACATGTCCAACATGGGGGCTAGTTCTAAAGTTAGAACAGATGTACTTGTACTTTCAGACTCTATCCACTGGGGAGTGGGTTTCAGTGGTGTTGTACTTTCTTCCGAGGTCAAAGGGGACAGAGTCGTAGTCTTCTCCATTATGACCTCCACGTACACCTTTTGTTTAGTGTTCACACTTTGGTTCCGTGCTACCAAAAGAACCCTTCTCACCACAACTGAAGGTCCATTGGAAAGTCTAATCAGCTGAGGTGTAGGATCAAGATAGATGCACTTTTATTCTCCTTGGTCCTCTAAGCTACTGGATCTAATGTAAAGAGAACAATCTCCCTCTATTACATTTGTCTTTGCATTGTTGAGCAGTGTATATTTTCTAGGATGGACAGGGTCCAACAGGTTAACCAGTTTCCCATAGTTATCAATCCACACGGGTCTAAAATATGTCTCTACATTCCATTTGGTGCACTGACATGGAAGTAGAGCCCACTTGGTCACTGGCACCTCAACTATAGTTCTGGTACCGTTTTGGCCTGATCCTTTGGCGACTGGGTCGTGATCTGCTTGGTACGACCGTTCTTCTCGTTTTCCTCTGAATGTTGTCGGTGCACTCTGGACTCTCAGTTGGACCCTGTTCTGGCAAGGAAAACTCTGATGTACCTGGTGCATGTTGTAGGTCAATGGTGTCAAACCCTTCCTGTTCTTCGGTTGGGAAATCCTCCCTAGCACTGTTGAGGTCAGGCACATGAGCATCATACAATGTCTGGGCCATCATCAGGTTCAGTTTGAAGTTGGTTTTGCCCATCCTGGTTTTGTCCTTTCTGTCGTGTCGCACCTTTCACGTCCTCTCTTAGGTCTTGAAGGATGTCATCTTTCGGTGCTTTAACACAATGTGACAGATGATATCACGTAGGAGAACCTTTGACTTGAACCGCTGTCCCAGTGCTACGGACCACTTCAAATGGTCCTTCGCGGCGTTCGTTGAACCATTTTCTCCTGAACACATTTACAAAAACTTTGTCTCCCGGCTGCAGAGCATCTCTTTTTTTGTTCTGTGGTTTTGTCCAACACCTCTTCTTGTTTTTGCCTGTCAATGACATATGTAGAAATGTTCCTATGTAGAGTCACTAATTACTTAACATATGACCTCATTTCATCTTCCAACAAAGACAAACTTGGTCCCTTTCCGCTTGTTCGCAGAACAGGTGTGGGCATTTGTCTGCCTGTGACCAGTTCATGAGATGTCATACGCAAGTCACGAAGTCCACTGGAACGACATGCCATTAAAGCAAGTGTAAGCGCAGCCACCCAGTTCAGACCCGTGTGTTGACAGATTTTTACCAGGCGGTTTATTAGCACCCCGTTCATTTTTTCGCAAATGCCTTGTCTTTCTGAATGATAAACAGATCCGAGGCATTGTTTAATTCCTATCTTTTGTAGGATCAGTTTTACAGTTTTATCTACAAACTCTCTCCCATTATCTGATGAAATCCTYTCCGGAAGTCCCCATCTGGGTATAACTTCACAACACAAAAAGTTAGCAACAGATTGGGCATCCTTCTGTTTGGTTGGACAGGTCTCCGGCCATCGTGAAAACCTGTCCACAACCACCAACATGTACCTTTTTCCTCCTACAGGTTTAATCATGTCAACAAAGTCTATTACCAACTCTTTTATAGGCCCTTTTGGAGTTGGGATGTGACCAGGAGGGATAATTATTCCTCTCCTAACATTATTTTTCAGACAAATGGCACATCTGACAATCATGTAGTCTATTTGTTCAAGCAAATATGGTGCCCAAAAACCATACTCCTGTAATTTTTCTCTTGACTTCCCCCTTTGCAGCATGGGCTAGCCCATGTGCCTCCTGAATCAGTAAATTTAAAAGGTCTGCAGGTGCCACTACTAGGCCCTCATGATTTCTCCAGAGACCATTAGCATCCTGGCTAGCACTTCTGTCAATCCAAAGCTGTTTGTCAATGTCAAGAACAGCTTCCTACATTAGAGTCACATCCCTTAATGTAATCTTATCTTCCAGATCAACCTCGTGTGTGATCATCAAAACTCAACCCACGTTGGCCCCTGCGACAGTCTAGCTGCCTCGTCAGCTACTGTGTTACCCCGCATCACCCTGGATGCGTCTGACTTATGTGCTGCACATTTAGCAATGGCTATCTGTTTAGGTTTCATAATAGCCTGCAACAACTTTAATATCTGCCCGTGGTGCTGTATCGGAGAGCCATCGGTTTTCTTAACCCGTCTGTTCTTCCATACAGCCCCAAACAGATGACAGACATTGGGCCTCATGCAAGAACATGTTCGTATTCTTCTCCTAAATTTCTCTTACTTTTGTTCGTACAAAGGGTTCGTACGAACATGCCACGTCAGATTCAACAAACGCTTCTATCTTCAGGAAAAGTGTGTAAATGAGCTGCGTAAACATGATGAATTCCACCTGTTCTATCCAGCTGCTCGTGCACGCGGAGAGGAGATTAGCATAATTACCACCCCAAAAACACCAAATAAGGCTCTGTTTCCTGGCTCCGATATCCGGAACTGTCCATTCATGAAAATGATGACGAAAAGTAAAAAGAAGAACTTGACAAGTTCAGAGATTGAAGTCCTGCTGTCAGAGATTGATAAAAGAAAATCTGTCCTTTTAGCAGCGTAAATCGTGGAGTTAAAGGACCGGCTAAAGCCAAAGAATGGCATGAAATAACTGCTGCTGTTAATTCTGTGTCTCCTGTGGGCCGTACAGTCGCCGAAACAAAAAAGATGTGGTTTGATTTGAAAATGGCTTCAAAAAAAACGTCTCGCCACAGCACGGTGCTCAATGACTGCAACAGGAGGAGGTCAAGGGAAGGTCTGCGTTACCGACATGGATGTGAAAATAAATGCCATAATGGGTGAGGTTTGTGTGTCAGGCATTCCATCTGAGGATGTTCCCCTGGACACCGACTTACACCAACCTGGATGTGAGAATATGGCCAGTACACCTGACAGTAATGGTAAGTATAATAAAAAAAGACCATATTTTATTTAAATGCGTCTTAACTGACAGAGTAAAAATCAAATCATTTTAATTTATCTGTAATCCTGCTTTTGTTTCCCTTTGGTCACATATTTAAGTTATGTTGAAGAAATGGTAAAACAAATGTGTTAATTTTCTTTTATTCAGAAAAGGAGCACATSGAACCGCAGGCCGGACCAGCTGATGTGTCAGCCCCCCTGCCATCTCCCACGCACACAAGTGGTATCAGATGCCATTCTGAAAAACCAAGAAAGCATTTTAAAATGTCTGGAAAATATGTCTGGCACTTTGGAAAAAATATCTGATAGTCTGGCACGCATAGCTGATGGGCTGACCAAATCTCAAAATAAAATGTGAATTAAAAAATTCCAAGTCTGAATAAAGCTGTTCATTATATTAAATTAATTAGGCTACAACATCATGGCCTGCCTTAAAGCCGTGCAATTAACTGCTGTCTTGTGATGATTGCATTTTCCTGGTGTGGTCCGTGTGGGGGGTCTTGTGGCA